TGCACCAAGAGGTCACTGGTTCGATTCCCGGTCAGGGAACATGCCCTGGTTGCAGGCTCTATCTCCAGTAGGGGGTGTTCAGGAGGCAGCTGATTGATATTTCTCTTTTTCCCTCTCCCTTCCTAAAAAAAACCCAAGTCAATAAAAACATGTTTAAAAATAAAACAAAATGTGACCTTAAATATGGTCATCCAGTAGTGTCATCTTAATAAGCACAGTAAATGGTCTGTGTTGAAGTTAAAGAGAAAACCTAAAAAACCGGTTATAAATCATTGGCTATAAGTAGACAATATTGATGTGAAGATGCATTTATAGTTTTTCAAAGAAGCTGCTGCCTTTGTTTTATTAGCCATAAAGGTAACCCTTCCTCTGCTTTCTGTCTCCCCTCCCCAATAGGTCTAATAACTCTGGAGGAACTACATCAACAGGTGTTAAAAGGAAGAGGCAAATTCGCTCAGGATGTCAGCCAGTAGGTCTTAACTTCCAACCTCTTGGAGTATAGAAAGGTCTTTAAAAAGCAGATGGATATCTTTTCTCCTTACTGTTCTATGTCTAGGATAGTTTAGGAATCATTTTATTCCTCATTATGATCAGAAAACTCAAAATACAGAGAGAGATAAAAAACACAAAAACCACTTATTTCTCAACTGATAGAACTGTTAAACATTTGGATATATTTTCTTCTAAGTTTTTTCCTCATGCATACATATGTATATTTTTAAACATTCTTGGGTCTTTGTATACTCTTGAGATTGAGATCAGGTAGAGTGGCAGGGGCCCAGAGAGGCTTGGGAAGGGGATTGGGTTAGAACAGTGGTCGGCAAAATCCTTAGTCAACAGAGCCAAATATCAATAGTACAGCGATTGAAATTCCTTTTGAGAGCCAATTTTTTAAAACTTAAACTTTATAGGTAGGTACATTGTTATTAACTTAATTAGGGTACTCCTAAGGCTTAGGAAGAGCCACACTCAAGGGGCCAAGGAGCTGCAGTTTGCCGACCACGGGTTAGAAGATGTGGTATCAATTGTTCTGGTTCACCCAGCCCCCGTGTGTGACTCCAATTTGAGAAAAGGTAAAAAGGTTGTTAGTGTGTGGGCTGAATATGTGGTCTACACATTGTTTTGCAGGTTTTCTTTTCCTCTAATTTGAGTTAGTTTGTTGAGTGGAGAGCCTGACCATCTTCCCTGAATGTTCAAGCAGTTTGGTGCCCTTTAACCCTCTTTACTGAAGTAGTTAAATGTTGTACAGCCTTTGGAATCTTCTGTCAAGGTATTCTGCCCAAGGCAGAGCTGAAATTGCATTGTTGCTAGGTTTGCTTTGCCAACGGTCTTTCAGCAGCTCTTCCTCACCTTAGAGATGACCTGATCAGGGCCATCAAGAAACTGAAGGCCCTTGGCACTGGCTTCGGCATCATCCCTGTCAGCGGCACTTACCTCATTCAGTCTGTTCCAGCTGAGCTCAATATGGATCACACTGTGGTGCTGCAGCTGGCAGAGGTACTGATGTGCCGTGTGCGTGTGCGTGTGCGTGTGCGTGTGCGTGTGCGTGTGCGTGTGAGTGTGCGTGTGCGTGGGCGTGTGTGTGTGTGTGTGTGTTTTTTGCATGGTAGGGAGGGGATCTGGAGCACCTTTGACCTCACTTTTTGCTGAAACTGTCTAATGGATGTACTACTCAGACCTGTGCTCATTTAGCAGACATTTATTGAGCAGCTACAGTGCAAAGCACTGGGCGAGGCTGTGGGCCATATAAAAATGGGACCACACAGTTCCTGCTCTCAAGGAGCTTACAGTCTAGTGGAGTACAGACATGCAGACAGCTAACCATATTTCCTTGGGTAGACAGATTCTTGGATGTCTTCTTAAAACTACATTATGGATTCTTTAAAACAAATGTTTAAATCTTGTTTGCTATCCCCTGTTCCTCATCATGCCTTAAGCATAGGCCATCCTCCCCCAAATCCTTATCATGTATTAAAGAAGACATGTTCAGTCTTCTTAATTCTGTAATGTAGAACAAAACTAATAAGGAGGGGCTTTTCTTGATTGGAGAACAGGTAGGGTGAGACAGGCAGGGGCTGAATATTTAAATATTTTAGATTATCACCACTTTTTCCTATCACTTAGTCACTCTGAATCTTCCCTTGTCATACTCGAGTTCTCTGAGAAAGTAAAAATTACTATTTTAGTGCCAGGGACTCTACTTTTTAAGACTGAATCACTCAACCTACCCGTTACCTGAGTCACCCCTCCCTTCTCCTCCTCTCTCTGCTGGGACCTCTAAACATTCTTTTTCTATGCTCATAGGCTTTCTGTGCCCACAGACAGTTCCTCCTCTTGTCTGGATAAGTCAGTTGTCCCTGGGCAAAGGCTGGGTTCTAAAAATTCCCATTCCTCCTTCTTTCAGAAAAATGGCTACGTGACTGTGAGTGATATCAAAGCCAGTCTTAAATGGGAGACAGAGCGAGCTCGGCATGTGCTGGTATGTGACTTTTGGAATGGCCCAGAAAAGATGGGCCCCAAATGGGAGGAAGTGGGTGGTCAGGAACCACACAGATAGTTTCAGCCTTGATCTGGTGGCCTCTTGCCTTGAAGGCTACTGCTGCCACACTGAAAGTAACCCGGCATGTCACTGAAGATGGCACTGAGAGGTAGAACGCACAAAGGCGGGCTTCTAACCTTGACACGTGTGAAACCGGGCTGCCGCCTGCTCTCTCTCCTGACCAGTATGTGGCCAGATGGTTAACACAGTTTATACTGGCAGTAACAGTTCAGAGTGAAAGAAATTATTAACACTTATGATAATTACATACCTAAATTATATACTATTGCATATATACCTATAATTATATACTGTTGCATATAGTTATAGTTTTATATATACAAATTTCATGGTACTAATGAAAGATTGATGTTGTGAAGAGGGAGTAAGCATGGAAATGTAGGCTTTTAATACCTTCTTTCTTATCCAGACAATTAACCTGTAGACACAACTTCATCTGTAATGTTAACATAGACATCTGTAAAGATAAACATACACATCTGTTTAATATTGGGCAGAACAAACTCATCTTGAGCCTATTTCCAGCTGTAGGAATTGAGTCCATTATAAATACTAATAATGAACTTGCATTAACTTCTCCAAAAAGGTTTACCCATGTTACCCAGTAAAGTAACTGCAAGACAGTGATCTCCATTTTGCTTCAGGGAATGGAGTCTGTGATTAGCTCAAGGCCATATACAATACTTCTGTGGTTGTACCCTCTTTTTGAGCAGCACTGGTTAAGTGACTTGGTGGCATTTTTCACACCTCAAAGGTTGAGCCAAACAGATCATTACAGTTTGGTTGTATAAATGTGTGAAGGCACTGGTGTGGACTTAATCTGAAAACCCCATTGAAGCCAGAGTAAGATTGGGGATTCTCTACTTTTTTTGTGGGAACTCCTCCCCTTTCTCAAATGATTCTTCCTTTTCCCTCCAGGAACACCTGCTGAAGGAAGGGCTGGCCTGGCTGGACCTGCAGGCCCCAGGCGAGGCCCACTACTGGCTGCCTGCTCTCTTCACTGACCTCTACTCCCAGGAGATTACAGCTGAGGAGGCCAGAGAAGCCCTCCCCTGACTCCGGGCACGTGGAAGGGGGCTCAGCAGGCAGGGAGAAGAGGGAGGACCTGTGGGTGAACAAAACCTGGACAACTTTGTTTAAAAAAAGGAAAAAAACACACACAGAAAAAAATGTTCCAAGTTTTTTTCTTCCCCCAATATTCTTCACTCATTGTTTTATTTTTTAAAGTGCCTTCACATTGCATCTTTATTGGAGAAAACCTCATTTATCCAGTAAGGATAACCTGAGTAACAGAACAACGAGCACGTAAAATGACTTGCACAGGTCACTGACAAGTCCATGGTAGAGCTGGGCCTAGAATGAAGGCCATCTGCCTCCCGGCTAGACAGTCTAGTCTCTTTGTAGCCCTGAGACATAAATTACAGCCTCTGTTAATTCAAACTTATTCCTTATAAAATGTCTTTTTTTTCTTTTTATCTCAAATAAGATCCTAACCGGCTAGTAAATTATATTCACTCTTCCAGCATCCTCTTGTAGAGGTTCCAGGTTATGAGACTCGGCTAGGAGTGTGAAGGAAATAGAGGTTAATGTTAAATGGTGGTTATAGGGAAGAAAACAATGGGATTTAAGGGGAACTGACTAACAGTGAATGTAATATTGTTTCTCAAATTCCCTCCTAGCTTTTCCTCCTGGACTGATCACTAGGTCCTTGTAGCCTTAGTTGTGGGAAAGGAAGTAATTTACTGAATCCCTACCCTGTGACCATTTCTATATACACCTCTTAATCCTCACTACCACCTTACAAAAGAAATAGGTATCCTTAACTTTGCAGGTAAGAAATCTAATTTGCCAGGGACCACCAGCTTAAGAAGCAAAGCCAAAACTAGAGCCCAGGCCCACTAACCTGAGCCCACCCTGCAGGACACAGGCTGGCAGGACATCGTCCATGAATGGTCAGTGAACAGGAAAAGCCTCGGCACCAGAAAAGCGGGTGGCGATGAGCAGGAAGGCTAGTTCAGTTCTGTTTTCAGTCTGAATGCTAACTCCTAGGGGCTGACTTAGTACAGAAAACAAAACCCAATGGATTATCCATACTAAGACACCCTTCCCTTAGTAGGGGACATAGCCTGTCCATCTTTACCTCTCCCTGTGCCTGTAGGACACACTCACTGTCCAGTTTCTGAATAGGTCTATCTTTGGGAGCAACTGAGACTCCAATGGCATTGCTCTCCTTCATTGCCAGAGCTACAGCCTCGAAAAAAGACCCTATTTCTGGTTGATGGAAGTTTTACCAGTAGTCCTGCTCCCATCCACATCATGCAACTCGTTTTTAGCTTCCAGACAATTCACTGAGCACTTACTTTCTGGCCTAGGAGAGATGTGTGGTCGTTAACATCCCATTCTTCCTTTACACAGCCCTCCCGCACCCACAGGCGCTTCCTCCTTCTGCCAAACAAACTTTATTGCACCAAAAAGAAAAAAAAAACTTCATTTATGTACAGTCAGATATAAAGACATCTCTTTGACTCCTGTGCATATATTTCCTCAAGATTAGGGAGTAAAAGTCAGGCCAGTATGCCAGACATGCTCTGCCCATGGCAGGGCCAAGGAGAAGATTGTCACTTGAAAGTGGGAACACTTAAATGGATGACAGACAACACTGGACCGACAGACCAAGGGCATTCTTCTAAGCCCAGTACTAGCTCTGGGAACGGGAGAGGGAAATTGGAAGCAGGGTGCCTTTTTGAGTCTCCTTGTGGAAAGACCACCCTTTAGATATCCAAGATAAACTTCCGCTCTCCAGACCCACTTCCTGTCCAGTTTCTTTGCTTCCTGCCCACCTCCCCCAAGTAGGACATTCTCCTTTGTGCCCAACCCCCTTCCCACTCCCCCAGGGAAGTCCCATGATTCACAAGGCAGAGGCCTCCATAGCAGCTGGAAGAGCAAATACAAGTTATCCTCTCTCTTACATGTGGCTGGACCCTGTGTCAGACAGGTCACCAATAACCCACTGGGAGCCGTAACAAGAATCTGGAAAGCACGGGGACAACCCCTCCAAAATGGGAAGTACGGACTCCCTCGATGCCCAGTATCCGGGCACCTAAAGCACATTTTTCTGAGCCAACCAGCTAAAGGATCACTGCAGCTAAATACAGATAAGCAACACAGCCAGGCAAACACCCATCAGAGCCAGTGACAAACAGCAGCTGGGAGGGAGGGACAGGGAGAGAAGGGTAGGAGTCTCCAGAGTTCCACCCCCAATCTCTGCCATTGGCTACCCTTGCTCCCCATTAGTCCCTGGGCCTTGATGTGAGGAAGGGGGACTGTAGGCTGGGGATGGGGGGACCACACAAGGACAGCCAAACAAAATACAACAGGATCAGCATCAGCCTCCCCCCTCACCCCACCCAGGAGAAATACCCTCACTGTGACTAGTATTGATGAAAATCTGTAAGAGACTTTCTATATAGCGGCTCTATCATACATCCAGCAGCTGCCTGAAGTGGGAACTTTTCAAATCAATGATTTTGGGAATAAATAGTACTTTCGGCTTCCTATGGTACCTGTGCAGGCTTTACCAAGACTTTGGTTCAGTCCCATCACATTTACCTTCTGTCTTAAATCTAGAAATGGGTGAGGGGATGGGAGGAGAGAAAGGTGCTCAGGTGCTAAGTAAAACTCACTGATCAGCAGCCTAGATTCCACCACTGTTCCTTCTCTTTGGTCTGTCTAGAACAGTGACTATAAATTAGGAAAAACAAAATTATGCTGGCCCATGGGAAATATGGGGGAAAAGAGGCAAGGAGAAAAAGGGCACTGGGAAGCCCTGCTTCAAGACTGAAGACAGACAGACAACCAACCACCCAGACGGCTTAAGTGTCACAGACAGCCCCCCACCCCAAGCTCCCTTCCAGATACCCCATAAATCATTTGGGCACACTCCCTCTTGGAATTGCAATTTCTGTCTCCCAACTATCCCTAAGGAGCTGGCCCTTTGGAGAGGTGTGTCGGTTGTTTCGTTTTTGCCAGAGGCCCTCGCCCTAGGTGCTCCTGCATAGGTCCCTTGGCCCCTGAAACGGGAAGAACACAGCCCCAGATGCTCGAGAGCCAGGGAAGTCGGATCAGGAACAGCCTCCCCACTCCCACACCCTGGGAGATCCAAGCTTGCTTGGTTCTTGCCATCTTGCAGGATGACGTCACGCTGGAGGGAGATACACAGTGCCTCTCCATCCCTGGGGTGGGGGAGGAACTTGCTGGGACTCTCAAGTGGGGGGGAGGGAGAAGGGAGCAGGATCTAAACCCTCAAGCTCCCATGCAGGTCTGTCTCTGTCCCAGACGAGCTGCTGTCAGAGTCCATTTCGGCGTTCTCATTATGGAGCCTCTCCAGCACTTTCTGACGAATCAGTCCCAGGCGCATCAAGAGGGACTGGTAGTCAAAGTGGCCCCGCTTCTCTCCAAAAGGGTCCTGTAAGGGAAAGGAGACAAGGGGAATGGGAGATGCAAGTCTGGGTGATTCACCCTAGCGAGAGCAGCTTTGGGCCCATGTGAAACGCATGCTCAACTTCGGAATCATAGGAAGAGAGGAGGGCATAGCACAGACAGTTCTGAACAGCAGACAACATAATCTTTGTTCAGGAATATTATGGCACATGTACTGCCCCAGACAGGTCTGGCTTTGGCCAACATTCAAGTGTGTTTGCATTCCTCAGAAGCCAATATACAGAGGGGGACACTAAAGGCAAGATGAATGGGGAAGAGAAATACAAGGGGGAAATTATCCCTCATTGCCTATAGAATAGGTCCTCGAATCACTCTGGTTCAACACTGATGCCTAGGAACTCAATTCTTCTTTATATCAATTATGGTAAACTTGGTTTTGTTATATGTTGTTTTGAGGCCGCTCCAAGAACTTAACAACATTAAGTGAGGACTTACTGTACTCAAAAAGGGTAATTTGTTTTCTAAGGTCACAGAGAGGTCTAGAACTTAGGAGTTCTGACTTCTAAATAAGCACCTGTAATCTTTCCCAGGGACCAATCACCATATTCCTGTCCAGGTTTCTGGGCATTATGCCAGGGCCAACTAGCCTTGATCCTAGTCCTTGTCATTCTAGATCAAAGATCTCCAAACATTACACAGAAAGGGCTTAACTGTCCTTAAAGTCCAAAAATAAATACAGTTGGGATGAAGGATATAAAAAAAAGGAATTAAGCCCTGGCTGGTTTGGCTCAGTGGATAGAGTGTTGGCCTGCGGACTGAAGGATCCCAGGTTCGATTCCAGTCAAGGGCACATGCCTGGGTTGTGGGCTCGATCCCCAGTAGGGGGCGTGCAGGAGGCAGCCGATCCATGATTCTCTCTCATCATGGATGTTTCTATCTCTCTCTCCCCCTTCCTCTCTGAAATCAATAAAAATATATTTTAAAAAAAGGAATTAAAACAAAACAAATAAAACAATTAAAAATGCTACATAAGGAAATGGCAGCCAAGTAGTGAGGCCAAGGCTCAAATAAATGGGGACTACTTTCCTTGGCGGGCACAAAAAGGCGTATGCTTTTTACTTCTCACAATCTGTCTGCTTCACCCACATAAACTCCTTCCACACTTACTCTGCCCACGTATTACCCTCATGATCAGGGACAAGGTGACGCAAATCAGTCACTGTGACTACAGCGCACATTTTACACTTATGAAGGTTACATTCCCCCCAAAGGCTGAAATCCACACTTACTCTGGAGCTATCAATTTTCCAAACCTTTTTTTAAAAAAAATATATTTTTATTGATTTCAGAGGGGAAGAGAGAGGGAGAGATAGAAACATCAATGATGAGAGAGAATCATTGATCTTCTGCCTCCTACATGTCCCCTACTGGGGGATCAAGCCCGCAACCCAGGCAGGTGCCCTTGGCTGGAATGGAACCCGGAACCCTTCAGTCCCCGGGCTAACGCTCTATCCACTAAGCCACGCCAGCGAGGCCAAATCTTTCCTTTTTCGTCACTGGCTCCATTTCTACCACTGTCCTCCCCAGATGTTGTGCTCCCTTTCCTTCCCTCATCATGAGTTATTTTTCCTTAATAGACGGAATATTGGAAATGCTGCTGGGTGCCAGCAATGAGAATTCCTGATGGGGAACGAACCACAGCATCCACCATCTCCAATATACTTTTTAAAATAAATATTTTTTATTGATTTTAGAGAGACAGGAAGGGAGAGGGAGAGAGAGAAAAAACATCAATGAGAAAGAAACATTGATCGGCTGCTTCCTGCACGCCCCCTATTGGGGATCAATCTGGAAACCTGGGCATGTGCTCTGACCAGGAATCAGGGCTTGATATACTCTTGAGCTGGCCTTACCCTTTGAGTTTAAATGTGTCAGGTGGGTGTTAAGTCCTTGAAGGAAGGATAGGGAAACTAACATTTCTAAGCAGCACCTGAGGGAACAAGACATTTACTTCTACTGCTGCTGTGCTGGGTGGGAAGTGGGAAGGAGTCGGGGAGGAGAACCCAAGAAGAGCTGGAGAGAACCTTAAGAGGTCTTAGTCATTTACCCAACTCGCCATATTTCTAAGTAACATCACCAGTAAGTGATCCAAAAGACTCAAGAACTAGTCCTTCAAGACTAAGGGTTATCACACTCTACCAACTAGGCTGTTTATTTTAAAGCCTATTTGCAATTTGATTTCATAAGAACCTCTTTTTCTTTCTTTTTAAAAATTATTATTGATTTGAGAGAGTAAGGGAGAGGAAGAGAGAGAGAGAAACATCAATGATGAGGAGACTCATTGACTGACTGCCTCCTGCACAGCCCACATTGGGATAGAGCCTGCAACTAGGGCATGTGCCCTGACCAGGATCGAACCGTAACCTCTGGTTCATAGGATGAACCTCAACCATGAGCCACACCGGTCAGACAAGAATCTCTTCTTTAAAGAAGCCTTAAGTTCTGTACTCTTTTAAAAATATATGTATTTTTATTGATTTTAGAAAGGCAGGGAGAGAGAAACATCAACGATGAGAGAGAATCATTAATTGGCTGCCTCCTGCATCCCCGCTACTGGAGTTTGAGCCTGAAACCCAAGCATGTACCCTTGACCAGAATCAAACCTAGGACCCTTCAGTCCGCAGGCCGATGCTCTATCCACTGAGCCAAACCAGCTAGGACAAGTTCTATACTCTTATTGGAAGCTGAAGCACATTTCCCCAGTATATGCACAGAATGAATAATTGGTTACCATCTTGTAATAGGAATCTCAACATATAACACTATATACACAACTAGAGGCCCAGTGCATGAAATTCATGCGGTGGTGGGGGGGGGTCCCCTCAGCCCAGCCTGCACCCTCTCCAATCTGGGACCCCTTAGGGGACGTCCAACTGCCGGTTTAGGCCCAATCCTTGGCAGTTGGACAACCCTCTCACAATCCTGGACCGCTGGTTCCTAATAGTTCACCTGCCTGCCCGACTGGTCGCCCCTAACTGTCCCCCGTTCCTGGCCTGATCGCCCCTCATTGCCCCCTGCTGCTGGCCAGGTTGCCCCCAACTGCCCCCTCCCTGTCTGCCTGATCACCCCTAACTGCCCTCCCCACCGGCTTGGTCACCTCTTACTGCCCCCTCTGCCAGCCTGGTTGCCCCACGCAGCCTGCTTGTTCAGTTGTTTGGTCGTCCCTCACTAGCCCCCTGTGCCGGCCTGGTTGTAGGTAGCCATCTTGTGAGGGCGTGAGGGTTAATTTGCATACCACCTCTTTATTATATAGGACTAGAGGCCCGGTGCACAAAAATTTGTGTACTCGGGGGAAGGGGGGGCGTCCCCCAGACCGGCCTGTACCCTCTTGCAGTCTGGGACCCCTCGGGAGATAATGACCTGCTGGCTTAGATAGGGCCAATGGGGAGGTTATGACTCTACCCCATCACACACAGACCAGGGCCCGTGGGGGGAGGAGGGTGTGGGGCACCGCCCCCTGTCACACACAGAGCTGCTGGACGATCAGGGGGATTGGGCGATGC